AGGGACAGGGAGCATGGGGACAGGGCTGGCTGGGAGATGGAAACAGAAGGCTGCTGTGGAAAACAGATAGCTCTTCAAGTCAGTGAAATGCTGGAGCTTCCAAATCAGAAGAAAACCTAGGAAGCTGATAAAATTATTCAGATAGGAAGAGACCACGATTCAGTTACTGAGCAAAAGCTACAGAAAGAAGGGTCAGAGACTTCAACAAATTGGACTGTGAAGATGAGAGCAGAGCTGTCTGCAAGGGGGCTGTGAGCCCTGGCTGCCCTGCACTGCCACAGAAAGGGTCTTTCCACCGTGAGTGGAACACAGCAAGGTGTTATTTGATAGTGGAAATGCCTTGCTCTCTTTGAAAGAAGACATAACTCTTTATGGAATAATTTACTAATGCCATTTAAGAAATTGAATTCCTGTTCTATGAGAATTTTATTTATGCTAAATCAATATATGAAGTCAGAATTTCATTTTATGGCTGAATAGAAATTATATTAAGAAAGCAGCCTAGGAAAGGAAACACTTAACGATACTGAACTGTTTTAGTCCTGAAGTGGTTTCAGTGACATAATGATATATTAAAAATAATATATTTAGGTATTTCAGAAAATAGCAGAAGTAAAAGGAGCTATAGTGCTAAACATAGAACAAGATATTGTTATTCTCAAAATGACATATTAACATTACTAAAATAGGATTAAAATTATTCATTATTCTTTTTTTTCAAGAAAATAATTAAAAATTGACATTTCTGACCAAATGTCTGCATTTGGCAAGAACACCATCATCCAGTGGTAACTTTCTATTGTTATTTTTTTACCATTTTTCTCTGCAATTGAAGGACACGCACACTGATTTCTATTGCAACATCAGGAGAGCTGACAAATACGTATTTGGTAGCCACTGATGCCAGTGCTGATTTAGTCTGTGACAACAGGAGTGCTCTGTAGGCATGCAGTCTCCTGCATGTCACCTATAAGTCACTTTTTGCAAATTAATCTCTGAAAACCACTATTATAAAGACCACCAGCGGCACTGCCCCACAAAAAATATTAGTACAGGCCCACCATATCATCCCTGTTTCTCCTATTTTCCTTTCTTTTTTTAAGCTGAGCAGCTGCCAAATCAGCAGCTCCTGGATTTCTGGCTGGGAATGGAATCTCACACTTGAGGCAATGAGCGATGCATGCACACACGCACGCACACGCTCTGCGTCTCAACTGGAGCTGGGTCCTGGGGAGACACAACCTCTGCAGTGCAGCACAAACAAATGCCATCTTCATTACCTCAGATGGCTCCATGTTACTGAAATGGAGCAAGCTGGATGCACTGCAGGAGGCTCGGAAGTGAGCAAAAGGCGTTTGAAGAGTTTCAGCACAGCCTGCTGGGAAGCTCTGAAAATACACCAGGGCCTCCCCAAGGACTCTGTGGAGCACTGACGTGCAGGCTCTGACTCCCAGCTCACTGCCAGGCAAGGTCAGGCTATTGGGAGGGTTCATCTCCACAAGCAAAAATTTGAATCTGAGTGCTGAAACTGATCCAAAAGAAACTTCCTTTTACTTTTCCCTCTGTGTGTTGGACAGTCACACTTATGGCTACATTAGCACTGCCTGCCATGGCACTGCACAGATGTGGGATTGAAGAGACACCCAGCTGGAAATAGATCTATGCCTATTCCTCTGAAAAAGATTTATTACCTTAACTTTAGAAAGTTTAGTAACATTATGCATTGCTGATGCTGGCAATCCTGAGACTGAGAACATAACTATTTAAAGCTAAAACTATTTAAAGCTATATTTTATTATAGCTTGTAGTAACTATCCTTCCTAAATAATTTTTTATCACTAGAGAGAAGATATTTGAGCATCAACTTGCACAGTACTTTTGTAGTCATGTTCCTTTCTTTGGCATTGAAAAGACAGATTGACTTAGGTTTTTGCATAAAAACTATTCTCTGTTGCTGTACCTTTCAAATAATTGGATTATATTTATTAGGAGACCTGAGGTTTTTCTGAAGCAGAGCTGATGTACATAGAAATGTCCTGTATTCTGTAACTGAAGCTTCCTTTTCTTCTGTTGTAGTTCTACCACGTCCAAAGCCAGCACGTTGGTCCTTGGCAAACAGCTGCTTTATGCATGGAAAAACAGCTGTGTAGAACCCTCAGGGGATTTCTGATTTTTTTTAGAGGCAATCTGTAGAATGTACCATGTAAAAAAAAAAAAACCCTGGGCCCTTTTAAAAAAGAGATGCCTTGTCAAAGAGATAAGCATTGGTGCTGGAGTTTTTCTGAGGAATGTTAAATAAAAGATACAACTTCTTGCTTAATGACACACCTGTCTGGAGCCACCACTCAATTCACTTTCTTTTCTATCTCACACAAACAAACAGCTCATGATGGCAGTATTTTTCTTCCCTTTGTAACTCAGCTCCAGCACTTTCTGTAGCTCAGACCTGCTACCCAGCACAGTTTGTGCCTCTCATTCTGAGCTTTCCTGGCTTGCAGCAAGGCCCAGTAGGCACTGCCCACTTAAGTCCCCCAGCACCCTCCTGCACAGGAGGTAACAGGGGTGACAGGTGGGGACCCTCCAGGTGTGTCCAGACCCTCTGCTCCTGCGTGTGGCCACCAGCTCTCCCCAGCCCATTTGCTGAGAGCAAGGGGCAGAATCCCCTCCCTTTCCCAGTGGGAGTGAGCTCAGTGCCACTGCAGCGTGTGCTCGGCTCAGAAGTGGAGATGCTGAGTTCATGGGCACTTTCTGCATGTGTGTGTGGGAAAGGAGCAGGCACAAACATTCCCTGCAGGAGCAAAAATCCAGCACTGGGAGCTGGGGTGTGAGAGAGCAGCAGGGCTTCTGCCATCTCCTGGAACCCCAGCTGCCAGAGCTCTGTGTGCTGGCCCAGTTTTGTGTTGCATCATAATGTACGGCCTCTGAAAAGGTTTTAATATAACTGCTTTGTTCGTTAAAGAGCATAAGAAACAGCCAAAGACCAATCAAAGGCACACACTCATGGCCTACTCTTCACAGCAGTTACCTGATTGAACAGAATCTTGTGTAGACTCTGGTGTCCTTCCTCTTCCCCATCTTCCCACACCAGATTCCACTAACACAGCACTGTAATTTTTACATGCCCACCTGTATGTCAGCATCTACGCAGAAAATTGTGGGAGAAATCCAGTCCCTCTGGTCACATAAGCACTTGATTACCTTCATTTCTTGCTCAAAGTCTTCTCTCAGCTCATCTGTTGCTTAGTTGTTTTTATCCTGGGCTTCAGAGTGGTTTGCTGAGCTTGAGGCAATGGCTGGCATGTTTTCTGTGGTTTAGCTGTACTTGATGAGATAAATATTTTTCATCTTTGAGACTGTTTCTAAACTTTCAGGCTATGCAAAGCCAGTGTGCTACACTATTGTTCTTGCCCTGACAGAGCCAAAGCAGTTCCTAGCAAAGCCTTCTAGCTTGTCTAGTATGTCACCTGTAAAATGTTTCACCGTGTTCCTGGGGAAAGTGAAATTAATCCTACAAGTGAATAAACCAAGTGACTGTGGAGTATCCAGCATAAGGACCACCTTCTACAAGCTCGGTGTCACCACCTCATGGATGTTTGGGAAACAAAGGACAATAGAGAAGGCAAAAAGCATCCTTCTAAACTGTGTTAAGACAGACTTCTTGAGTCATTGTACTGGGATTTAATGAGGTTCAATTCTACAATATTCCTTTAATTTGAAAATAATTAAAAGCCAAGAGCTAAGTTTACCTCCTTGCGACTGTTAAGAACTTTACTGCAAAAGTGGTTCACACTAGGCACATGAGGGCAGTTCCAGTATAAAGCTCCATTTCTCTAATCACAAAGACATGCATGAAGGAAAATTTAACAGAGTTAAGGACTTCTCTTTCAAAGTACATGCACAAATCAAGAGTTAACTTGGTATTCTTTTCTTTTAAAAAATACCAGCAAAATAACATTGAAATCATTCTAGAAAATAATTAAACAAATCAAAACCACTGAAGGCTTTCACAGCCTAAGTGCTGCAGGAGCTCAAAAACCATAGGAACCTTTTTTCAAGGAATTGAAGTATAGGATTGCCCTAAGATTTAAAACAAGAAAAGTTTGGTGTAATTTTTGATTTGGGAAACACTTTCAGTTATTTTTAAAAGTGTGACTAGTCTCTGTCTCCACAGCCTTACATGAGACAGCAGCACTCACCTCTTTGTTTTGCTCCCTGAAAGAAAGGCTTTACAGCTGGCAAATCTTAAACGAAGGAAAATAAATTAATTGTTTTCTGACATGCCATGAACACCAGTAAATTAATCTGCATCCAAAGGTCTTTATACTTTTGACCTTCAAGGTATGCTAAATGCGAAATTTTGTTTTTAGTTGCTCTAAAACTAGCCAACAGATTTTGGGCCTACAGTATCTTTTAGGTTATCTTCCCATGTAGTGCCTAGAGCTTTCCCTCCACACATGACCCCTTCAGCTTTGTTAGTTTGTCACCTAACACAACTCCTTGCTGAAAGGGGAGTTCAGCTGAGAGCCAAGGGGAGTCCCCCTGCTCTGTGTCTGCTTGCTGCCACTTTCTGAAGCAAGTCTGCCAGCCAGCGCTTGTCTGAGCTGATAATTGTGAATGATAGATTTGATCTAGGCTAACAGCACAATTAAATTAGGGTTTTAACCAAGTGTGACTGTACATGTTGTTTAGACAGCTCTCTAAGTGTTTTCAATTATGTTTTGTAATGAGAAACTAGGAATAAACAGTGATAAACTTGGAGCACCGAATATGTTGTGTGACTGCTCCTTTGACAGCTTCAAGCAAAATAAAATGAAGCCTCTTTCCTCTGTTCTGAGTCATGACACTTACCTGGGTAGATACACAGTTTTAGAATAATTAAATGATGTGTTTTCCTGCTGACATTTGTGAATTTTATCCACATATAGGACAGCACAAGATTTTATACATTTAGAAGTAAATGACCAGTTTTCATAGTACTAGAGAACAAAATAATTTTCATCTTGTCAGCTATTAATTACCTTTTTTATTTGTTCTGAAAACAATAGGCTAAAATCCAGCAAGAAAAAGAGAAAAGAAATCAAAACTGTAACATACACCATTATGAAAAAAATCTCTGTACCAATTAAAATCTACAAGTTTTGAGGAAAATTATCAAAGTAATTTCCATTTCTGAAAAGAGGTTGGAGGTATTCATGGAAGTAGTCCTTTAAATAAAAGTAAGCATAAGAAAGAGATGTGCAAGCAGTCAGTATTTTAAGCTCTAAGAGTAAATAGGATGTATTTTCCACCAGAACTGTTGCAATTATTCAAATGCCGATCTCCAAACTCCTATAGGAGTATCAGATTAATATATGTGGAGCAATAAGGACACCTTGAGGACAGTTAGAAAAATGCAAAAATTTATATTCTGCATTGGTATGGAGGATTCACACACCCTTTGTAAGTCTGAATTCCTTGGAATTGCCACATGATGTAAATTAGAAGCTCTTAAAACTATGTGGCAAAGTCCCCCAAGTCCCAAGAGTACTATTAATGCTCTCATTAGTCCTGAAATACTAGAATATATGTTTACCAATAGGTTCACTTACTTGCTAGTAGTTTTGAGGACAAACCTGTTCTTGCAACTCAATAATCTTGTTGAGTTGCTTTTTTTCCTTGTTACAGAAATAAAAAATTTGCTTTGCACTGCTCAGTATAGTATTACACTGTACATGTTTCTAAAAGGAAAAGTATAAAAATAGTGAGGGTTTCTGAAGAAGTATTAAATGCAAATCTACACAAAAATTAAAATTCCACAGTTCTTTGTCACTCTCTACAAGTTTCAAGTATTCCTTTAAATCTGTACCTTTCAAAAACCAAAATAACTAAACTTTAAAAAAAAAAGTGAGAAGAGGAAGAAATCTTATACCTCTCATTTTGCACAAGATTTTTTGCATGTGAAAAAGCACTTTTTTTAAAGTCTAGCTCTAAGTTAGAACTGCAGCTGTGGGGCCATTTGTAGAGCTTTCTGTTCCCTTAGTGCTATCTGCAGCCTTAGAATCATCACAAATTTCAGATGGCTCAATTTCCTCTGGCCGTGGTGGGGCAAGATCAGTTGTGATCAAATCAGTTTCCTGATCTGATTTTCCTACTTCACTGCAAAATTCAACTTTATCTTCCTGCTGGCTGTTCTTCTTTATTTGTCCATTCTGTGCAGGGTAGGTACTGGCAATGGTGTCATACAGAAATTGGTATTGTTCCTTAAAAACAAAGAGAAGTTGTTAATGTTAATGGAATGCTCAGAGTCCCAGAATTAATCAATTCTTTCTTTGCTCTCTTACATTTTAGAAATGTAGCGTGTAGTTGGACAAGCAAGCCTGCATATGAAGCAGCTTCCACGGTTTTTGACATAGAGTGTTGCTCCTAGGGTTTATTCTGACTTCATGTGTACATAGCATCTCTGAAACTCTGCATCAGATACTCCAAGTCACCCAGTGCCCTTTTGGTTCATAAAGTACCAAAAATATGGTTTTGAGAGTACCTAAGTTGTAAACAACACCTATTGTACTGAGTCTGGAAAGTCATGTAATACCCTGCCCACATGGATGACACCCAGGTCTGCTTTATTGGTAACTGCACAATGTGTGCCACAGTTCCTCTGCAGTGACTGAAACAAAACCCTCAGTGCTGCCAGCCTGCAAATGGAGCTCATCTCCCAGCTGTAGAAGGGACACTGCATCTACGTCACGAACCAAGTGCAGGAACAGCAAATTATGAAATTTTTAATTTTATACTATACAGCCTTTGCCAAAGGCAGTGCAGAATGGCAGCTCTGGACATCCCAGACTCCTTCATTGCTATCAGCAAGGGCCAATGCCCAAATGGTGGTGAGTGTGAATGCTCTGATTAGAATCAGTGCTCCCTATACAGAAATTATGCCCAAGGTTATGGGGATATCAGTGACCATGAAAAATAATCTTACTCTTTTCCTGTTAATTCATAAGATTTACTTACAAAGGTGGAGACCATTCCCAGCCTGGTGCGACGAAGAGATTTTACTACTTGGAAAACATCTATTACTTCTTCTGTTTCTGCACTTTCCAAAAGGGTCATTAAAGCACAAAATACACCAGTCTGCTGTGATCCATCACTAGAAGATGACACAAAATGTACATGAAAATTTATAAAGTAAAATCAGAAGTCTTTTGACTAAATGTTAGATTAATTTTAAAGTATTTATACTGAATTATATTTCCAAAGCATTTTTTACTGAAATTGTCACAACTAAGTATATGTGTAGGATTTGCACAGGACATAGTTCTAGAGACTACCTGGACCTGAAGTACCACTTAAGGAGAAGAGGAAAATTCAAAATTTCAGACTTACAGTCTCAACTACTATTAGCAGGATTATCTTCTGGTTTAGATGGCATGCAAGGCTATTCCTGGAAATGGTCCTAGAAAAGTGCACTTGTATCCTGGAGCAAGAGATTATCCTAAAAACTCTACTGGATGTTCATTAGTGCATCCTGCAAGTGCACTCTGACCTAGCACTTCCCCACAAAACAGGTGCACCAGCCAAGAGCAGCTGCTTATAGCACCCACTCTGTGCCCATACTTGCCCAAGAGAAGTGTGCTTGCTTTTCATCACTACAATGCAAAAGGCCAAGCTTGAGCAATTCAAGGAATTTCTAGGGAGAATTGAGTCTCCAGACGGAAAGGCTTGTGAGGAAAGTAGGCATCCCAAAATTATGGTTGCTGTGTATACCCAGAACTCAGAGCTAGGTGAATGTGTGTGCTGAATTCAGACCCACCAGCAGTGGACAAGGAGTGGGACACTGCGGGTTCTCCTGCTGTCCTCAGTGACTGCTCTGGCTGGAAGTTTTTGTTTAATGTTGAGAATCATGCTGACTAAATCTTGGGGGTTTTCTGGAACATCACAGCAACTCCACTTATGGTACTGATACTGATAAACCTTCTGAGTTTCTTTTGTCTGGAAAACAGCAGTGGAGAGATGGTTAATGTTCAGGATAAAATATGGATTCACACAATAACTCTATTGCTGCTGATTTAGAAAGGAAGAATTATATTCCTGAGGAACTGCAGAGTGATTGTTCTATCTCATGAATATGAGGTAGGTAGACATCCAAGCTTTGTTCAAAGTACAAAAGACAGCTGATCTCCTGAGACTCTCTTACCACCATCTCAGCAACTCACTAAACAGAAAACTTGAGATAATTTATAGCATTTCTCATGATTGACTGCTGGTCTGGAAGAGAAAAACATTTCCATTTCTTAGAGCAGGAGGTAACTGCAGTGGGAACTGTTTCTTCTCTTTCTTGAGGCTAAGTTTACAAATTTGTTCTTAAATTTAGAAACTCCTTGAAAACCACCTTTTGGAATTTGCAAAGAAACTTTTACCTTCAGATGTGCAACATCAAATGCACGTATGGTGTAGCTAGGACCAGAGTTGACATCTGCCATTTGAACTTCTATGCCATCATACGTTTGCTTTCCTTCTCCCCAGTACTGTGCACAGAGTTCCTAAAATGCATAAAAGTACAAGTCAGTGATTACCACTCAAATCTCCCTTTATTTTGCTCTCCGTGTGCACTTAGAGACTGTACTGACTGTAAAGTAGGACGAGTTCCATTGTATTTTGAAATAGAGCATCATACACTTTTCCCTCAAAAATTCATTAGGAAGTAAATTAAATAGGTAAATACTAGAGCAAAATATATTGGAAATGCAAATTTCTCATCCTATGGGAAACACTTAAGTGGAGCAAGGGAATGAGAGAGTGCAGTGCAGTGTTTTGTTTGCATGTAGAGGATATTAAATGTGTCATTGTGCAGACAATGCCCCCACCTTATCTCCTTCCTTCAGCTCTGTCAGCATAACAACGACTTTGACTTTTCTTTGGAACACCATTTGCCAGAATTCAGAGATAGTTTCCTGCAGTGGTCCCTGTGTTGCAATCATGGCTTTTGGACCCCAGTAACCCTATAAAAGAAATATTTTTTCTTCCATTCATTTGAAATGTGATTGTCAAACAACAGAATTCATCATCTGAGGAATACCCCATGAAATAAACTAATGAACCCGTTTATAGGGAAAACATGGCTATCACAGTAGGCATTGGTCTTACAGGAATTCTACCACCCAAATGACATTAACCTCAATCCTCCTAAGAATATCACTTCAGACTGACAACAAGATATGTTGACTGCAGTCAAGATGATTGCTGCAGAGGGTGAGACCTCACCCTGCCATTTTTGACAAGCATCTTTTTAAGGGGTAAACCATCCATTTTTACACAGCCATTTCATTTTACCACTAAGGATTTGTGTTTATACCACACAAAGTTGGTGCGCCAGTCAGTTCACATTGAGCTTCCTAAAAATAAAGATACATTTACCCTGAATAGGTATCCTAACTTTGCAGCATTTCAAAGGATTCAGATAAATGAAACTTAGCTAGTAATTCCATTAAAATCAGTTACTTCATTAGTGACCAATAACTGTTCTTCTTCCATGGATATATAATGATACCAAAAAGTTGTTGGTTCCGATTTTCACTGGTAGGGTTTGGTCCATGTGAATAACTATAGTCACATTTCACTAACAGGGACAATATTAATCTGGTTCAACCTGTAGACTAATGGAAATTAGCCCACTAATGGAAATATATGTTATCACGAGGCCAGTCTGAAGGCTAATGGTTTTAAACATAGATGGATTTGCCAATCAGCCATCAGATCCTTCTCCCTTATTCAACTAAATCATTTTCTACTGTGATGCCAACAAAAGAATAAGAGTTTTAGCTGAAAGCTTGTGAAATGCCTACAGTGGATCCTCTAAATACATACAGTTATGAAGGAAGCATTGATGTATTTGTTGGATTCTTCACAGTCGCTGTCCTCATCCGAGGAGTCATCTGAATCATGCTCACCCTCCTTACTGCAATCCTCTTCGTGCCTGATGGGCACTCGGTTAAAGTCATCTGTGTGAGACAAAGTGTCACTGTCACAGCACACGGCCCCCTGGGCATGGCATTTGTAATGGAAGGAATAGAAAAGGCCAGTCCTTTCACAGCATACTGCAGAACCAAGGCCACCTCGTTCGAAATAAACACTCCCCATAATTCACATTGGTAAAAACACTCTTCTGTTTTAATCACTATAAGAAGTTTAGAAATTTACAGTGTTGAGAATACTAATTGAATACTGTTCTGTAAAGTGATTTGTTAATTTTTTCATTTCTTTTTCTAATAGAAGAAAGATAAAATAAGCCAAGGTGGGATAAAATAAGGAAATGGAAAATACTTACAAGGAATTATGTTGGCATTCCTATTTTTGCTTTTATTTTCTTCCCGATTCCCAGTGTTCTGTGAACGCCACCCCTTATAGGAAGGCAATCGCTGAAGAAAGAGGATGTTTGATATTATGCTTGATTAAAATGGTTCTTGAGATCATTGTCTCCTCAGGATACTCACACACAGTCTTCATCTTGCATTGCCTCACTCCTTACTTTGATTCTTTAAACTTTGGTAATGTCTGTACTACCATTTAAAAATGCCTGCTACACCATGTACAATGACACAGGAAATCATGGAAATCATGAACACAGACACAAGTAATCATTCTGTGAGCTCCATCTTTCTTTAAAATATTAACACCAAAGCACAAATGAAACTTCATTAGTATATAGCATTGTTTCATGAAGGTAAAGAAACTTTCTGTGCCAGAGAAATAAAATAGCACCCAAATGATCTATTGCCTGTGGTATCTATAGCTCATGACTATGGGGAAAGGCACATTTTAACATAAGTGAGGGTAACTGGAATGCAAAGCTTATTTACCTGGAACTCTGCCTCCAGCAGAGAAGGCTCACTCGGGTGGTCTTTTCTTTTCAGGTTGTTAAGGGAGGAATGCAGTTCTGAGAGACTGATCTCTGTTTCTCCATACTGATTGTATTCCACCAGTGCTTGATGAATAAGGATGTACTGAGACTGGTGTTTCCCATTTGAAGAATTTAAACATGAAGTTATTGAAGCGTAAAAAAAAAAAAAAGTCATTTCACTTTTGAAAATCATTACAAAAAGCTATTACTTCTGTGACAATATCATTAGTGTTAATAATATTAAGCATTAATATTAAACAGATATTAAATACAAGTGTTAAAACTGTAAAATGCTGAAGAAAGTTAAAAACGTGCAATGCATCAGTGCATAATTTTTGTTGTACTCAACTCAGAGGAAAATTGCACTTAGGCAGATGCATTTTAGAATTTTTAAAATCAAGTTTGACTCTGCAAGCTCAGTTTTGCATATATGCCAAAAAGCTGTTCTCCTTGGCTTCCCCTTCCAAAGCCTGAACTTAAACAGTTGAAGTTTCTAAAATTGAAAAATTATGTTGGAAGTTTTTTCCCCTCTTAATACTTTTCAGAGCTATATTTTCCATGAACAGCTTCAACAGAACTGAGCAATGCACTTGTGAGAAGCAGTGTGAAGTAGTGCAGGAGAGGTGTGCCAGGAGTAATTTTGGGGAGATACCTCCACTTGGACCATGAGGCACCGCTGGCGCCGCAGTTTCACGACGTAGCCGTAAACATCCACTCTGCCTTCCGTGTCCAGCCCCTCCAACATGGCATCAATTCCTATGTACGTCCCAGTGCGCCCAACGCCAGCACTGCCAGGCACAAAGGGACCTGGTTATGGACAGCCAATGGCACCAGCCACTGCCTCTCTGACAGCAGCAGGCCTTGACAGAGTGACACTGAAAACGTGTTACAACAGGATTCAAAGCAACTGAATGCACTTCTTGCTGTAAATTGATTGGCAACACAAATGATGATGAGTTTGCATTTTTAGTATCTTTTAGTGAAAGCAAGGCCAATGTGGCCAAATGTGGTGCTTATAGCCAGAGCAGTCCAACACTGATCTGGCTATTTTTCAAAAGTCTGTGTATCCTCAGGTTTTATCAACCTGAATTTCCTTCATATCCTTCAGAAAACAAGCCTTGTGTATCTTTTGCTGCCTCATTTTCAAGTGTACAAGTCATGAAATCTGGGATCAGACAAACACTTTTGCCAGCTCCCTTTTCTGAATAGCTTCATTTCAGTCATTTCACATTACCAGATTTTTCAAAGAATAATATATATTTACCTGCAATGAACCACAATCGGACCACTAAAAAAGTTGCTGAGAGCGTTAACTCTGCGCCGGAGTTTGAGAAGGAGATGTGGATCCTCAGGGACTCCATGGTCTGGCCAGCTTGTGAATTGGATATGAGTGACATCTCTTCCAGCTGTCCTTTCTCTTCCCTAGAAAAAGTGAAGTGTGGTTTTTAATATATATCACTCTATTTATCCATTAGTAATATGTATTCAGATATATACATAAGTCTAAGTGACTAGATTAAATCCCAAAGCATGCAGAGTCTTGAGTGGACTTTGATATGTTGCTGCTAGACTAAAAGAGAGGACATAAATTTTGATAACCATGATCATAAAACCAAATGAGAAAAATGCCTCAGTGACATTATTTTACTGGCCAAGATTTATATGGCTGTACAGGCATTTTCCCACTAATTAACCTAAAAATTCTTACTCATAGTTGAATTATCCAGTTGCAGCAGAGCTATTCATACAGTTATTTGCCATTGTTGCAGTAATTATACATGACTATCCTACCAGAACTGCAGAAGTGTTCACTTTCTTGCCACAGACCACTCTACAATTCCACAACTAATATCCATTTTATCTTTATTGATATGATGTCAGCTGAACACAGAGCAGACAATTCTAAAAATATCAGCCCTCAACCTTCTGCAATCACTCATTTCTAATGTCAGATTCCTCAAGTGACAGAGCAATGTCTTTGAAAATAGTTAATTCTTAACATCCTGATCTGCTCACTGACTAAACAAAGTTATAGCTTTCTTTTAATCAGACCACTTCCTGAGTAAATTTTAATGCGATGTGAGACAGCAGAATAGGAATTTCCAGCAGTAATCACAAATCAAGATGGGTGGATCCTGCTACTTTGCTGAAGATCTGCCAGCAGATTTACTCCTTGAGTCTGAATGCTTTTAGCTAAAATTTAGGCTCCATTTATCATCATTGAGATATTTTTGCAAAGGGTCTAAGCTGAGCATTTAGCCTTTGATGGCAAATTTTATTCTCATTTACACGTAGGGTAACTAATATGATTTCAGATGTGTGAAAGAGAGCAATTAACCAGCCTTAATGATTTACACATATCTAAATGGTGATTTTAAAACTTGTATTTATAAACACACTTGAGATTACCAGAATTTGTAATTGTCCCACAGGACAATTATCAAGAGGGTAGATAATGGTTATCTATGAGTCACACTGATTTTAGTTACAGAGGGTTATGCTGTGATACACAAAAAGCAGAAAATTTTTGTGTTAGAGAACAAACTAAATATATAAGGAAACCACAGTGTAGCTATTAATTTTTTATCACTTAGCAGCATATTAATCGTTTAATCTTAAATGAAGGTTCCAGCAGATTAAGGAAAAATACCTTTTGAAGTTGGGTAATATGTATCTAATTCATATTTCTTGCAAGAAATTACACCGACATCTAAGTTTTCCCTTAAGCTATATGATGCTTAGGAAAGACTGCAGAGGATCTTCCATTGAGAGATGACTCTTCTCCCTTAAAATACAGACTGCAAATAGACACTCCAGATCCAGTCAGTGTCACACTTTGGAATCAACTCACATTTGTGATGTGCAGTTTCTGAATGACGTAGTCTGGGCACGTTTTACTTTCATGGATCTTCACAATGATGTCTCCATATGTTGCAGTTCCATTCTCCATTGATGGCCAGTACTGGGCACATTTATTCTATGGAGAGATGAAGTTAAGTAAGCAGTCCAACTGTGAAATGGCAGAGAATTGAGAGCTAGAAAAATGCCTAATTTAAAGTAGATGGCAACTCAGTATAGCTTTTTCAACTTTTCAGTTCCAAATATCCAACAACTCAGGTCTCTGACTGGAAATTTATGGCCATGGAATTTAACTTCAGATTAAATTCAAATAGTGGGGGAAAAAAAAGTCCTGTACACTAGATGAAACAATGAAGAGTGACTGCTGCTGTTGCCTGATGGGTGGAGAAATGCTTGTAGCTACTTCCATGCTTTCTTTTTCAGTCTTCAATGAGGGTTGCTGTTCCTGCCTGCCTATAACATCAGGTTGGGTGTGCTGTAAATCTGCAGGCTGTCAACATCTTTACCTGCAGCTAAAACAGCAGTTCCCCTTCTTCCTGCTGTACCTGGAATAAGGAACAAAAGCAGGCCAGAAGCACCCAACCTTCCACTTAAATAAAGGCAATGGAGGAAAAATTTTCTTTCTAGGATCTACTGAGGACACTGCCAGGACATCAGAATAGGCAGAAGACAAATAGAAACCATACCTTTTCTGACAGGTCTGTGAGGAGCTAAAGTTCTACCTTGAGCCCTTCTCTGGATTAATTAGCTGTAATTTGGAAGCTCACCTACTTACTGCTGCGACTAAAGTGATATTTTCAGATAAGACTGGTAGTTCATAAGGCAACACTGTTTTGGCATACTTTCCAACACAGGTTCTGCCACAATGAGAGAGCAGCAAAGAATGAAAAAAGTACTTAAGAAGAATATGTGATTCAGCACAGTGCAGCAATCCACTAGGTTTTCAGAAAAAAGAAGGATGGAAAGATAGAAGGAGGGAAGGATGGATATATCTCACCCTCTTTCCTTCCTCACAGCGAGTCACCATGACAATAATCGTGGCCTTCTGTTCCCAGATCATCCTCCAGAAATCATCTGTGGTTTCATCCTTGGGGCCTAGAAAGAAGACAATTTAAGGGACTTTTCCAGAGTACAGCCACATGAAAAAACACCTGCCTGCCTGACATGCTTAGCCATGCAATTGAAGGGCTAACCAGAGATCATGCAAGTATTGATTTCATTATGGCTGCTGTCATTAGGCTACAGCATTTTAAAACTCTCATCTGTATCTTTAGTGCATAGCTATGAAATCTGAAAACTTTTGGTGTAAAATTGTACAACACGAGGAAGCTGCCTTTAAATTACAATTTATTGTCACAAAGTTCCCTCAGCAAAAACTCATTGACAAAACTCATTGACAACTTTGTCATATTAAATTTCAAAATGTCAGATTTTCATTTTTCCTTTAAGCCTACTAATAGGATTTTACTACTCTAGCAAAGATGGGTGAATAAAGAAAGCATATTATTTTAAGATTATAAATTACCTTGTGCAGCAATGTATTTTCTTGGCTCTTTGAAGCCCTGCAAAAAGTACATTTTTATCAACTTTTAGAAAGAAAGCATGAACAATCTAAAAGATTTGCAACTTTAAAAAGAAATTCAATATGCAACAATTCAAGTATACCAAATACATTACAAAGGTGAATGCAACTCCAGTGGAAATCCTCCAAGGTGTTGATGCTTTAAATGCACAGACTACAGGATTTCTTCCATAGTGTCTAAGACATTTTTAAAGTAAAATCACTCACATCAATATAACTTGCATTGATATAGTCTGATCCTGGATCTCCTGGCATCTCTGAGAGCTCAACACGGTTATGGTCATCTGTTTAAATCATTTAAACCAAAATAATTATATTATCTCAAGGCAGTGAGAAATCAAACATTTATAAAACGTGTCAAAATTGTTTCAAATACTCACATGGAAGAATATCAATGTAACGGTTTTTGTTCTGATTATGGCTCTTTTTGGCCTCCTTTATAGAAAATTTACTGAAAACTCTAGGAATACTCTGTAAAATACAAAATTTATTTTATTAGTTAAGCCTAGATTTAAAATAGCTTTTACTTACAGCCAAATGAATATGGAAATAATTTGACATTACTGAATCTGGAAGGTAACATTATACTTCATAAGATATTAATTAATATATTTCTTATATCTAAAGTTAAAAAAATTCTTCTCCTTGAGTATATACCTCCACAATTACATATTATTTATATCCCCATGGCTATGCAGTAAGATAAAGTTTAAAAATATGTATTAAAAGGTACTTTAGGATGAGAGGTATTTCGACTGAATACTTTATACTCTCGCTGAAGAACACCAGGAAAAAAAGTATTTTCATCTTACAATGGGGAAGGGACTGGTAGCAAAATTAACTGAGGATTATTTCACCTTAGATGAGAATTCACTCAATTTTCTAGATTATTTATTTCTAACGAGTACATATAATCAAACATGCTCCTGGATGGAATTCTTCCAACCACCTGGATAAAAACCTGTGGTATATTTCGAATGAAGGGCAGACCTGAAATTCTTCCAAGAAGAGCCTTCCTTCATCTGCAATCTTCCTCTTGTACGTGTCCAGCAATAGCTCTGAGGGTATTGGCTCTATGTTGAGAAGCTGCTTGTCATCATCTTTAACTGTGCAAATAAGTCAAGTGTTTATTTTTGAAAACGTAAATTACACTTCAGTAAGTGTGATTCTAAAACTGCCAGATAATAAATACACCAAGTTAAAAGAAAGAGTTTAGTTCTTTTGTTAATTTTTTACAAAACTGGCGTTGCCTGAGGCAGCTGTGAGCAAACAGGCTGTGGGAATAAGAGAACTTTTCCAGCCCTGCTGCCTGACTGGAGACACCACTGGAGGAGGCCACGTGCAGGGACACCACCTGAGTACGTTTGCACAATGTGGTGACTGTCACATTCAGGGCACAGCAACTGCCTCAACAGCCTCGCCTTCTGCTTCAGCTCCGCTCAGTTATTGTCAGTGATCCAAATATCACAACATGTATCACCTAACTTCCCAGATTTTCTCCAAGTTATGCTCTGAGCTGCAATAATCTGCAATATCATCTTGAATGATAATATAACAGTTGAACAAGTTTTAACACCTCTTAATAGACATATATTCATTTTTCATTTACATTGAAAAGTTGCATTTTTTAATAACTGTGTGCCTTAGCCAATGGCTTTGAATTTCAACATAGTCCTACTTCCCATTTAATGTTAGTTTCTGTGAATTTTAGTGTTCTAAATTATTTTTTTCTTGAAGCTCTCTGGTATTGACTGATCCTGTCTTTCTTCACAGGCTTTGAAATCTTGTGCAAAAAGGTGCACAAAATTTTCAGTCTTTTGGATTTGAAAGCCTTCAAAAATTTTCAGTAAAAATAACTGGCTAATATTCAGTCTCTTTTTGGGGAGAAAGGTGCACAGAAAAGGGAAATCTTGTTTTAAGCTGGATTTTATTCTGGACTTATTCTCAGTGTTAAACATATGACAAACACTGTAGGGGATAACTATAACTGGGTTTTTAATTGAATAATATATAGAATTTTTCAAACACTGATGAAATTTCAGTTCACTCAAGTATAAATACTTCTGTGAATTTACTGAAGTATTTTTGCCCTCCAAATAAGGTGCTATCATGTTGATATCTGTAATATGTGAATGCAACCTAGAATGCAAATAACCCAAAGGTGGCAGCAAGACCTGAGACAAATTGTATTTCCATTTGCTAAATAGAAATAAATATAAATTGCTAAATATATAAAGATACTCACCTGCAACAAGGTTCACTCCTTCAGAAGAATTGCTGTAAGAAACAGAAGCACCTGTAAATGCTTTGACTAGTAAGATATATATGATAATAAGTTAAATCAAATCAGTTTTGTATGAGAACACCAGGCCTGTTTTTAGCCAGCAGCCTGCATTCCAAGCTGTCTGTGAAACAAGAGTGCTACACCTGGGATTATGCAGAGGTGCTTGGGATCCTTGTCCTCCTTCCCCGAGGCAGAGAAACAAGGTGGCCACATCAAAAAGCTTGAGTGCCTGCATGATTTTGCCCATCTCACCCACCACAAACATTTAATTTCTTCATTGGAGTGACTGCTCACACCATCTTCTTTCCTCTTGCTAGTGACAGAAAACTAGCACATACAATCCCATCCCCCCTTCCATTTATGTAAGAGAGGGAGACAAACATGAAGCTTACCTAAGTTTTTTTTTGTGAAGATCATAGATTTTGTACAGAACCAGTAGTAAAGCAATTACAGTCACAATGATCAAGAATGCCAGGAATATAATCAAGGCTCTAGAATTATCTACCAACAGAAAAAGAATACATGTATTATTTTAAAATTACTTTTAAGAAAAGAAACCTGTATACTCCCTAGAACCAGGGCTCATCAATTTTTGGTTTGGGGTCTTTTTTAAGAAAAAAACTTAGTAAGTTTGAGTTTGCTATGCCGAAGCAGAGGAGGGATTTTGTGTTTTCATTAAGAAAACCTTCCCTTAAATTCTCCATGTCCACCTGTCAAAATGCTACAAGTCACTGGCTCAGCATTACTGTGCTTGTCTCCTGCTCTGTGTGACCTGTACAGTGCAGCTCTCACTGATCTACGAATTGGGAACCTCTGCCAAGTCACAGATGACCAGCTCCTGAAATGCAGGATCTGAACACAGGAAAATAATCCTAAAGTGAATAACGTCAGTTAGAGAAATTAATTTCTAGATGCATTTGACTGTTTCCTGAAGAAATCACAGCTGTGTAATAATTCGTAGTTATGATTAATGACTTGTCAACATGATCTGTTACATTAATACTGAATGCAGATATTTTTCAAATGCAGATCAAATATTAACTATAAAACAGGAAGTTTAGATTTTTAATTAGGAGCAATTTAACTGAATTCACAATTTACATTGTTTATATTACGCTAAAATCTAAAGGTAAAAGTGCTGTACATATTTACTTACATCTGGTTTTTATACTCTCCACTACAGCTGTCCCATTATGTTTTCCATTAGACACAAAGATCTGTATGCAATGGGTGACAATAATAGAGATGTTCAGATATGACAAGGAAAAATTTCTGCATATAATTCTTAAAAAACAAAGCACAATGGATTCTTGAAATTCATCCATCTATTGACAACATCATTGACAGCAGTGTCTGCTGTCAATCTCGGTATTGATATTTATAATGCAGCTCAGGTTTCTACCCAAGTTACAGCAAGATCTGGATTCAAGAATATGGAAATGACAGGAAAAAGAATTTTTAAAAATAGGAAACACACTTTATAAAATAAAAATCAGATGCATCTCAAAGTAAAATCAATTTTATCTTTTATTAAGCCTCTCAAATCTGAAAAAAAACCATGTAATATATAAAAATCCCATTTGCTGCAACAGTAAATATACAAATAGTCCACTGAATTTGATGATTTTAATACAAATTTATGTATGGGTAAGTAATTCATAGAGGTTTAATTAAATAAGGTGTTTTCTTGCATCATTAACTTCTGGGTACTTTAAATGGTTTAATTAAATAAGGTGTTTTCTTGCATCATTAACTTCTGGGTACTTTAAATGGTGTTAAAACACTAACTTTGTTTTGCTGTGTTTATGTTTTGTCCTATATTTAATATTTATTACATCTTTTAAATTTTCTTAATAGAAATTCCTATCAGATCTAAATAACAGCTTGCAGTCAAATATTTCACACTGTTTTTTCTTTTTCCTTTTGAGTCTTCTATAACTTGACCAGAGTCCTTTCATCACCAGCTAAGCCCATAAGGCTCTCGTTTTTGAGAAAGAATTAAGCAAAATAAGTGCAAAGCAGAAGCCAGGATTTAGAGGTGCAGAAGCAAATTCCTTCTGTAAGGAAAACTGCTCACTGAAACTGGTGGATAAAAACCTTAACTGGCACAGAGGTCCTGTGCTACTGGGACAATGCAAGGATCTTTTGCTCCTACAGGACCTTGTTTTCATGTCCCGAATATAAAGCTCTCTGAGCAGAATCTATTGGGAGAATACTGACAAAATATTGAAATCGAACTGAGACTACTCAAGTTCTCTGATACTGCATTTCTGCAGGTAAAAACACAAAAGGAGGAAAAGACTGTGGGGAATAAGCGAAACTGCATCCTAAAAGTAGCAAAACTCCATCACTCTTACTGGTCACTTTCTTGCCTAAATTTCACTGAGAGGAGCTATCAGGATATAAGAAATATCCCCAGTGGCCATATTAAGGGAATCACACAAGACCATTGGTTTTGCAGACAACCCCAAAAGGGTGAAATGCCTGACAGAAGAGAAGACTGCAGGAAACCTCCAGGATAGTGAAGCGTGTAAACAGAGGATGATCTATTTTGTATGGACACAAGGACTGGCTTCTAAGAGGCTGATATAAGAACATGCAAAAGGATCTGAACTGCTTTGCACTAATTAGTCCCTGAAGAACCAAAAATCTTCATTCATTAAATGGAATATGTTTTCAAAACTAAAGTATCAGTCATACTCCAGAAACTATTGTAATCTTATAGAAACCCCAAACTTCTCTCTGAGCCAAGTACAGTCTATTCTGCTTGCTGTTAGAACCTATGTGCAATAACACACCAGGGATTGTTTGATAGGTTAGGCACATATGAATTTTAGTTCCAAAATAATAATTACTTTTTTACACCTGAGGCCTACAGATTATAAATTGATACCTCTTACACCATATTTGCCTTTTTTTTCCTAAAATCAAGCATAATATGCTTAAACAATGAAAATGCAGCAATATTTTATATATTTTAATATAATAAGCTAATTTACCTTAAATGCATAGGTTGTCAAGTACAAGAGATTTTCTCTTGTAAATTCACATTTGTCCTTGCTTTCGGTTTCTCCATCATTCTCCCAAGTCAAATAAAATCTTGCATATGGTCCAAAGAATTCCCGTTCTCTGCACGTAATCTGGACAGCATTATCAGCTGTCAATGCTATTTTAACATTCCCCACTTTTTCTGGCACTGTAGACAAGAAAAAGGGTTACTTGTTCTATTCTCATCATTTCAAACCCAACATTTTAAGCTATATGTGCTTGTCTGTTTCCTGTCTTCTCTCAATAACTCATTCTCTCAATAACTCAATAAAACATTTTCGTCCTTAAAAATTTCAGTCTCAATTTAGCAAGATAAGTAAAATCAATTTTGACTTAATCATGGGCTTATCTAAGCTGGTAAAGGTGTGAAGTGGAACTGAAAAGGTTCTACTGACATTCAGACTGCAAAAATGCTATGATGGCAAATCTCTCTTATATCTGACATCACTGTCTCATTTGAGGAACATGGGGCAGCAGATAAGACAGGAGAAAAAAAGAGTGAATATTCACTTCAAAACTATTGTAAATTAAATTTTCTCCCAGGAGCCACTAGTATATTCTAATATTTGGAATAGTGTCCTTACATTTAATTCTGGCCTAAAGCCACAAAAAAATTTAATGATACAGAATCTGTTAAATCTAATCTGTGGTTTCAAAAAACTCTAGCTTGTATGTTGCAATAAATGTTGCAGGTTTCAGACTGAGGGGAACAGCCAAGGGACCTTTCACTGAGAGCTGATAAAACCTTTCAGAAAGTAAACGAGGCAGCCTGTGTAAAGCAGTAGCCATATCTCAGCAGCCACATTGCAGTAGAACACCACCATGGAAATTTTCTACAAAATCATGTCAACTTGCAAAACAGCACCTTAAAAACAAAAAAAGGCAGCTGCTTGAAGAGCTGAGATCTGTAAGGCTTTATAAGCAGATCAAATATCCCAGGGGAGGAGTGGTGGGATATTTGACTTGGCTGAGTGTGAGGTTACATCACAGCTGATCATTTTTATCAGGGCAGATCTGTTAAATTCCTATTCCACATGCTGCTGAAAGAGCCGTGACAAAGAGAGAGTGAACATTTCTGGAGGCAATGTGTTTGTTGAAGATGAAAACATCTTTTCTAAAACGTAGAGGTTTTCCTACTTCCAAGAATTGTGTTCTACTGATACATTCATCAGTTCAAGAAGCCATAAAACTCTTTCACTTCCTGCTTGACTTATCAACTGTTGTGACAGTTGGAGAAGGTCTAATTAATACCATTAATTCAAAAATTAAAAAATTAAAGCCATATTTAAATTTGTATTACAGATAAGTGTCAGATCAACCTGTTTATCAGTAAATTAATTTATCAGGTTTTTTTTTGTTGTTTTGTGGGGCTTCAGGTGACAATTCTGATCCCTGTATACTTCAAACTATACTTTTGAAAGGATAGCCCCAAAAAGATGCACAGACCTTTCTGTCAGCAGAAGGGCTGGCAGACATTTTTTCATTTTTAACCTAATGTTGGAATCTGTATACAGGTACATCCAAACTAACTGACTTCCATTACAGATGGACATTGTTGGTGTAGCCTGGGTCTGCTTCAAGCAAATAGGTAACTACACAACAGAAGGTACAGGCTGCACATCTTTGTAGCTTTCATGCCACAATGAAAACACCAAACTTTTTTATTCTCTTTTTTTTTAATTCAACTTTTTCTTTATATTGGGTCAGAATGCTTCCTAAAAACTTCACAAGAATTTCAAATTAATGAAATCTTATTTTTAAAATTATATGTATTAGAAAAATACAATATAATACAAATAAAATATAGAACAAAGTGCATAATTTAAAAATAGATCAACATAAACTAATTTAAAAAGGGATGCTAATGATATGAATGTCAGTACAATTATTTTAATGTTAATCAGTTTCTTGGCCAATAGTAATATCATGTATAAAATATAATGAACTACACTAGGAAAGTACAAATTTTTTGTGTTAGTATCAGGCTAGGTCATAACAGTTAGCAAACAGATTTACCTCCTTCTTCTGTTGTAAATTCACAGCTTTCATTTCTACCTGAAAGTGTGTCATTGAGTTTGTTGATTGTATATGGAGTCACATATACAGAAGCTCTGGTAAAAGGTTTAAATCCACTGTAAGTATACTCAGTTGTTTTGATATCTGCATTATGAATGTCTGCAAAATGAAATTAATGAAATTAATGAAATCTATGTTAGGAGCAGAGGAACTGTTACACTTTATCAGAGCTACCTGAAACCACTGTCATGTGTATTTCTATTTTAATTACCCTAATCTGGTTGCTCTGCTTTGCGTATAATCCTAAGTGAAGGCTGAGGAAGAGGAGGAAATGCATAAATACATAGAGAGTATTTACATATAAAGAGTACATTCATCCTGGGAAGGAGGAAGTAGGAAGCTGTCACTGCACACTGAGCAAGTCCATCCTGGTGTGGTGTCAGAGATGTTGTGGTAGTTCTGCTTTCAGGAGAGGCAAACAGCAGAAGAGAGGAATTGCATGAGAAGCAACACGAGCAAAGCTCCTGCCCAGGCTGCAGCTGGGCTTTGGTGGCGTGGGAAGCTGGGGGAGCCATGGCCTTTCTGTGCTTCCTTCTGCCTGCTTACCATGAGACCTCCCTGCACCCACACATCTCCTCCACCTCCTACACTGGCCAAGCCAAGCCAAAACAACCACAGAAACTGGCTCTTTGGGCTGCCACCCTTTTGGGTTATGGTCAAATTTGGGGCATGGAGAATGGGAAAGATTATTTGTATCAGAGGAGCACAGAAGCATGACAGCCTTTGGTTCCTGTGGGAGCCCAGGTTTACATAACCTGTGGTATATGAACAGAAAGGCTGAACTAAGCCTAAAGGATGAATCAAACCAGGACTAGCTTAAACCTGGTACATATTTATTATTATCAGGCTCTTCATATTAAAAACCTCATTTTCCAGTCCTTGTTTTGAAGAAAAGTTTGCATCTGGAGAACATGATCCCAGTACAATGGATACAAATTTATTCATTGAAATGTAAGGTCGCCTATACCAGCATATCTGAAAGGAGTGGCCATTTAGCAGAAGACAATCCCTTAGCTAGACCTATCTAAACATGCTTATGCTAACTGCCATATGTTTATGCCAACTGAAGGGTGACAGAGTCATGTTCTGACATGGTAAACTGAATAATCTCAACTGAAAGTTCAACTGGAACAACCTTAAAGGAAGGAAATTTTAACTTTTGTCTAAAAAAAATTGCAGCGTTAAGAGATTCCAATAGGACTTGGCAGTGCATTATGCTTGGTGCTCTGTACCTACATACAAGCAATGAATTATTTAACAGTGAATATACTTACTTTTGCCTCCGACAAAGAAATTGATAAAGTAGCCATTTATGGGACCCTTTGAAGTGTCCTCGGGTTTCATCCATGTAACTTTTACACCTGTGGTATTACATGTTACTGTAAGGTTTTGTGCTGCTTCTGGAACTGTTGTAAAAGAACAATAACAATAATTAGCAATACATGAAGATAAAAGTATTCCTCTTTTTACCTACTTTTATTAATTAGATTAAATTTCATCTGACACTAAAGCAAGACACCAACAACATGTAATATTTTTTGTACTCTATTTCAAGAAAGTATACATAGTATAAACTGAGTATATGTAAAAGCATCATATTACAGTAATTTCATACATTTAATTAATTCAGGACAAGGTGAATACAGCAACATTACATTTTACTAAAATTTTGCAATGTCTTCAAATCAAGAATTTAAGACTTGTTTCAGACTAGATCTGCTCTTTTTGCGTGTGGGTCTGCACTTTTTTTGTGAGTGCATCTTCATTCAAAATTCCGTATAGTTGACCACGTTCTCAGTCTCCAAAACAACAAAAAATAATCACAGTCTCTGATAGAAGCAACGAAAGGCTTCAGAGTGGAAGACTGAGAGGGTGACTGCAATCAAAGAACAACCACTAGGGCAGGAGACCAGGAAGGAGGAGCTGAAGGAAAAGCGGAGTGTGGCAGAGAATGCTCCTCCAAGTGGATCTGTAACCCCAGGAAACCCAGATAATGGGTTTCATAGTAGGGGTTCCCATAAATATGTGGAATGTAAAGCAAAAGTAAGCACTGCACTTACCACCATAGTCTGTTTCTATCTCAAAGGATTGTTTGGTAGAATTCCTTTCAGTAAAATGCAGTACTCCAGTGCAGTTGTACCGATGGTTTGGTAATAAATCATTCAGCACTACACAAATTAAATTGTCATATTTTGGATCTGTAGACATCGGAAGAGCTTTATCAATATTTTTCACAATTCCAAAAGTATGTGGCACCATTTCAACTGAGATTTTCTCTACCATATTTATTCAATATCATTTGTAATAAACTATCATAATATTCCAAACAGAAAAACGTACAACCTGATCCAATGACTAGATTTTTGGTTCTTACACACTAACTTAATTTGCATAGATTTTTACTTTCTATCACTGAAGGTCATGATTTGACTTTCTAAGGAAACAGCTTTCCCACAGAAATCAGAACATATCATGAGGAGTCTGCAGAGCCCTGGAATGGCTTTTCAGCTCTTCAGCTCCCTGACGCAGGAAATCTCCAGCCCCAAACATCCATCACCCATTTCTCTGGCACACGTGAGGCCATTCAGCATCCATATCTGCCCTGTCACACGAGGTGTCTTTGAGCCAGCCTGTCCTCAGGCTGGCTGGCTCTGAGAGCAGAGAGCCTGGACTCACACCATCCAGAGCCTGAGCAGCCAGTGGCCAAGGCAACCTGCCAAGGGTCAGCTCACAGCACACCCACAGACTGCAGCATTTCCAAACTGCTCAGCTGCCCTTCAGAAAACCAAACAGGACCTCAGCATCTCCAGAATTTGTGCAACTTGTGAAGCTGGTAAACTCAGCAAAAGAGTTCTCTGAGTTTAAACTGTGTGTGGGGATGGTAGTCCTTCAACTGGCAGTCCCAGGAATTCTGAGCTACCCTTCCCTCAGACTGGCATAATTAATTTAAATCTGCCAGTCTCTCACCAAAAGACAACATCAGCAATGTTTTTAAAAATAAATATTTACATAACCCACTATTAGAATTCTTTAGCTGTATTTCGCTCTTGCAGGTAACATTCACACTAGCACAGGAAAGTGATCTACTCCAACAGAACTTAGCAGATGTGTTGGTTATGTTCTTGACTTGAAGAGGGTTATCGACATCTGGAAAGGAAGAATATTATACATCATTGTGACATTGGCTATACTGAGACTTCAAATAACAATTCATTTATGGTTTTTGACTTCTTCTGCAATATGAAGACACAATCGGCATAGAATAAAATACAAAGAATTTAATAAGAGATGGAAAGTAAAAATTGAAAAAGCCTTCATGAGATCAAGACACACGGATATTCAAACAATATATTAGAGTTTTAGTCCAGACATTCAGCATAAACACCAGCTTTGAAGTGGTGGCTGGTCTTGCTATTGTTTACCACACTGCATATGGTCAACGCAGTTGAAGTTCCATTTTTTTTCTTCAGAATAAAAAAATTACGGTTTGTTTACATTAGTCTTTAAGAAAATACTGAGAAATTTTAATGTGCAACTTCAAAAAATGGACAAAATATGAAAACTTTCTGTCTGACTCTCTGAAAAGTGACAAGAATAGCCAAAGAAACCTGGGGAAGCTGAATTACTGCATATAACAAAATTGAAAAAAAATTTTTAAAGAAACTACTAAAATCCTTGTACACCTACCTTTTGGAATTTGAAAAGAAGTATTTTTTGAACACTTGCCAGTTTTAACTTCAACAGTGTATATGTGGCATTTTGGAAGCTCTATTGAATGGCTGCTGGAATTCACAGTTATGTTTTTGCCACCCCCCGAAATAACATATTCTCTGTCTTTTGTGGTAATGTTCAGAAAAACTTCAGCATTATCAAGGTCCTCTGTAAAGTCTTTTACATCTTGAATAATATCTGAAAGAAAAGGCACTGTAAATGGAGGTGAAAAGACCAGAATTGTTAAATAACTTTAATCTTACTTCTTCCAGGACTGGAAGACATTTTATATGCTAAAGATGATAATTGATCCATTTTAATTTTTTATTGCTTTATCAGCTTTACCAATTTTCTGTATTTGAATTTATTATTTGGCCACATTTCAAGACTGAAGGAGAATAAAGGGTTTGGTTCTTACCACAATCTGCTTCAGGTATCACTGTGGTATTTTCTGTAAGAAAAGAAAACAATATAAAGATCTGTCTCAACAAGTTGAGTATTTTTTCCACAGAGCATTGGAGAAGGGTGACCAGTACTGCCCCAAACTCTGTTCAATATATTCAATATAAGTAAATGTATTTAGCACTTCTCTCACATTTGAAATAGGGAAGAAAACATCAGCTACACATAACCCTATTTTTTAACTAGTTATTTTAGGAATCAAGTGTCTTTCACAATTCTCCAATGACATCAATGAGCTAGAAATCAAACTAGTTATTGGTAACATTTCTGAGTACAAAATTACACAAGAATATTCCACAAACACACACTCTTACAGCAGTATGACAAACTACAGCAGTTTTCCAGGATATGTATGCTGTGGAATGGGCACCTGAGCAGTATAAAATGTCACCAAAGAAACAAAATTTACCTGCTTTTTGCACTGCCACTCTTAACTTTGAAAAGAGATTTATACAATAGTACAGATCGTTTAATGACTACTTTGACACTGGGATACACAAAAGAAATTTTTGTTGGTATTTTCTGAACTTCATCCTGAAAACAGTTACTTAATATATCCCAAGGCACTAAATCTAATCTATTTTTTTTATATAAGGTAGGCCCTAGATTTGCCTGCCTTCAGGCTGGGAGTCACCTAGCTGGTTAGTGGCCCTAAGGAGAGGGCAAATTGAGAGGGAGACTCACCAAGACTGTAAGGGGCAGAACACCCACAAGTAAAAGCTAAGCTCAGTTTGTCAAAGAGCAGACAGCAGCCTACAGCTACTCAAAGGACAGTTCAAAGAGATGGAAAGTGTCCAGCTCCTGGATGTACATTGCACAAGCACATACATATATTTTACTGATCTGAGTAATTCCTTACAGCCCAATGGCAACTAAAATCACTCTAAGTGCTTGAACTACTAGATTCCAAGAAAGTATTACTGTTGTGTTAAACCAAAGGGAAGACATTGGAAGTCAGAGAGGCACACAGATCTTGGATGTATTCACATCTTTTTGCTGCTTGGGCAAATTTCTGTGAATAACAAGAGGAGTACTGACACAATAATTGACATATTTACTCTCCTACTATGTGCCATTGTGTGGAAATAATTTCTATTTTGCACTTGCTTGACAGGTAACAAATCTGGTATCTTTAATATTACTCATAAACAGTTAGTAAGGTTCCTAAAAACACCCTTATGTTTAATGCATAATTTGTATGCTTAGGTTTTATACATTCTAAATGAATTGCCTCATTCAAACCCCTTTTCTGTGCCTGATGTATCAAAACTGTGGTAACTGTGTGCAAGTTTGTCACCTATTGTGTGAGTGGAGCTGGGAATGGGGCTGATCCCAGTGCTTGGTGGCATGCTGACTGATGAGGTGGTGCTGTGCAAGGATGTTGAATTGTAATCATCTGTAAGAAAATAAACAACATATCAGGATCAAAAAGTGAAATTCATTTTTTCATATGGCTTTATCATCAGAAATGTCTTACACTACAGCACTTCTCTGTTTTTGTTTTTTTTTTTTTCTTAGGGGATTTTTGTAATTTAGAGTAGACTGCTGAAAGAAAAGTCATGTTAATATAGTAAATAAACCAAAAAAATGAGTATGTGAAATGAAAGCAAATTTTCAGGAGTATACCACTTACAAATTAATTTTGCAATGTACAATGACAATTTTTTTTGGTCACTATTATGTCATAATTCCAGATGAAGTCAACATAAAAATAATGTTCCAATTTGTGAACTGGGAAAAACTAGAACATATTGCTATATTCTTACAATAAAACACAATTACACTTGTACTGTTTCACAAACAACAGCTCTAGGTAGTGCTTGTTTGCCAGATCACATATCTTGTTCACTACATTTCTTACTATATCTCATATTTATAAGCATTCCCTGTTTATAAACCCCTGACAGGTTTCTATTTCCCTTTTAGGCTCATTCCCATTGCTGTTGCTTTGGGAACAGCCTTGTTGGCATCAGCTGGCATTTTGATGCTACTGCGGTGACTGCAAGATTTGGCCCTCAGAGCCCAGATCCTGCACATAATCCTGGCACTGCGGCTGTGCCAAAGTGCAGACACCTTTTCAGTTTGATGAACCATGAGCTGGAAAAGGCTACCCTGGTGCTGAACGACTTAGTTTTTGTTGGAACCCTGGTCACTGAGAATTTCAGACTTTCTGTGCTGACAAGAGAACACTGCATTTGACCTGAGACCGTTGAGAAGGGTTCCAAAATTGAATGACAGAACAGGGATTATGGGTGTGTAGTTTGAGTAGGAGTGTGTAATATCACATGGTGGAAAACTGAAAGTAATATATATAAAGCAGGATGGTGGTTTTAGAGCAGAGGTTTGTCCTTCCTCTTCACCTTCTTCTTTATGGGTCTAGGTGCTGTTATGTAATTGGATACAAAAATCCACATTGTGGGCCATGGATGGTTGGTTATTGGGTTAAAAGTAAAAATAATTTAGGTGTCATTTTTTAATTGGATAGTTTATCTTTAAAAGGCCTAGTGAAGAGAGAGATAGGGTTCCATTTTTAGTTTGTTAGCTTGAAGTGCTGTAGAACTCAAGGTTTGTGAGACTTATGTAGATAAGAACCGATGAACATCTAAATCCAAACAAGAAATACCGTCGCGCGCATTTAATCCCGACCCTGGCAAAAAGAAGATAAGCCCGGACAAGTTTTCCCCTAGAGTTCTGAGAGTAGAACGTGGCTTCTAGAGGGGCCAGCAAACCTGGGGAAGCGTTCCCGGAGGCAGAGGGAGTGCGTGCGGTGGGGGCAGCAGAGCTGCCGGTGCGTGCTGCGCTGCCGGGCGCCGTGCCGGGGCCGGGCGCCGTGCCGGGGCCGGGCTCGGAGGGCCCCTGCGTGGAGAAGTGCGTGCTGTTTGCGAGGCTGGCACCTGCGGTGAGAGGGACAGCGGGGTCGGTGATGCTTCAGCCAGGTGTGCCCGGCCCAGGAGGGACAGAGCTGCCCACAGCACCGGGGTGCAGTGCTGCAGCGCTCTCGCACTGAGACGCTGGGAATTCTTAACGAAACAAAGGCACATCGAACATTTAAAGTGCGGGGGATTCAACAGGTGTTAGATGAACAATCAGGGAGTATATTCTTTTTTGGTTATGATTGTGCCTTTCATGCTAAATGCTGTGTTTTTAACTATACCTAAATACATTACTCAAAACCACATTTGTCTGATATTCCTGCCTATTAAAACAGCATATTTCATTTTGTGGGGTGAATGAAAAGGCACTATACACTCCGTGAGGTAATTGTGTGTGAAAAAGAAAGAAGACATTTTCAGGGGGAAAAAAAAACCAAGGCAGTTCTGCCATGAAAATTGTTTCTTACCAGGTCCGGTCGTTGATGTCTCCTGCCCTGAAAAAAGAGAAAGAGAGAGAAAAAGTGTAACTTAAACTTTCAAGGAATTTGCCTAAAATATAAAAAGACACATTCCTTCCTCCCAAATATCAGCTAAGCTTTCCCCAGGAAGTTACACATTCTTAAGTTATATTTAGTGGATGCAGCAACAACCAGGTCCCCAAAATATCAAGTATGCAATCACAGAATCACAGAATGGTCTGGGTTAAAGAGGATCTTAAACATCATCTGGTTCAAACACCCATGGGCAGGGATGCCCACCCAGAAGATTGGGCTGCTCAGGGCCCCATCTGACAAACTTCCATCCACCTGTTTGGCTCTTCCTTCCTCCTTCTTTTGCTCTTTTTCTATCAGATCTTTCCCACTATGTTTATGTCTTGGAATTCATTTCTCTCTTTTTTGTTGCACGTGTTTTTCAGATAGTTCTTCCCTTTTTATGACTGCTCTGTTACTTCAGCTTCCCTACACGGCACTTCACAACTGCTGTAGCTTTAGTCTTTTGAAAATAAACTCCAACCTTTAAAGCAAAAAGCCAGGTTTATGTGAGAAACTGCATTACTTGTAAGGGATATGTAAGTATCCTGTTCATGTGTCAGCATCAGAACCATGTCCCTCATCTCTGACACAGAAAACCAACACAAGCAGTTATCCTGGTGATGCCTTGGGTTTCCAGGCATCACTGGGACTCCAGAGATTTTCTCCTTAAGGACCTGACAAGCAGCACCACACGTGTTGGCTGCTGTGTGACCACCGTGAATTCTGCAATGCCACCTGCAGGGAGTGAGAATTTCTTGGTGCAAGGAACTGTCATGAATGTGTCTAAGCCATGATGTGAATATGAATGTAAACAAAAGTTAAAGTCTTGCAAGTACTTTTCTAGTGAGCAACTGAATTTGTTGTGGACTGTACATTATGCAAAATCCCTTACTACAAATTACAATTCAGTAAAAGCCAGTAACCTGATACCTTACAGAAAAGGTATCAACTGAAGTCAAATGAAGTTCAGCTAAAACCAGTAATGCAGCATTTATTTCTTCACAGAACTGGGGAAGGGTGTGATCTGATCCATGAGATGAGGATATAAGTCTATGAGGTTTGACTGAAATCACATGAAACTGTCAAAATAACATTGCTCTTAATTGTAAGAACATAATCTCTAAAATGTAGTAAACTGACAACAGATTGAATAACATGGGTATAGAAGCCACAATATTTAACAGGCCTAGCATGTTAATTAATTTATATCTATGTATCTTCCTTGAAACACAGACCATGCATTCTTTCCAAAGCTACAGAATCTTAGCACATGAAACTTCCTAACCTAAGAGAGGTTACAGATAAGAAACTAAAATACAGGTGACCTTTTGAACTATCAATGTACCTTGAGCATCTGAAACCTCCTGTCTGCAACATTTCTTTACAACAATTGCATGATCTATAGCTATATGCATTAAACTGCCAAGGAACTCTATAAAAGCTAACATTCATATCCATTCATATTTGCCATAAGCAATAAATTTTCAATGTATTTTCATGGTTTTCAATTCAGTGTTTGAAAGCTGGCACTTAGTCATTCTAAATTCCATAATGAGATTTTTCTTTTTTCAAATGTCTTATTAGCTGAAGAATCAATTATTCCCCTTCCTTTCTCAAATCTTACTTTGGTTTAGCACATCAAATATCCTTCAAGTCAAATATTAACTTTCCCTGAGCATTGACACAGATTAACTTCCCCTTAGAAACTTTTCCAGTAACAGAATAAAAGAAGTTGCAGAAAAAGTCCTAAATTAAAATCTGTTCAGATTAGTGAAACATTCAGAAATACTTTTCAAGCTATTTACTGATCTCTGGTGCAGACATAATAGAGATAAAAACATATACATCAAGATTGCCTCTTTCAAGTAGAGTAAGATAATAAGAGATAAGGGGGATCATAAGCTTGTCAATGTTGTGTTTCTGGTTGCCTCATTCACTTCCTTAAGATTCCTGTGAAAATAATTTTCCCCATCCTCCCCGTTGTAAAGCTAGGAATAATGCTAATAGCTTAAAAAGTGTAAGGTCTATTGCTCACCCCCAGTGAGAGATGTTAAACATCACACACAATCATGGAACTCCAGGTTAGAAAAGACCTCAAGAGATCACCTGATCCCACTGCCTCGCTCAGAGCAGTGTCTTAAAACACTATGGTAAATAAGAGGACGAGATTGCCCTTTTTTGCCCCCTATAACTAAGCACTGACATTTTAAAAGAACTTCATGGCAGTTTTATACTGTTCTAAGCATTTCAAGGGTCTCCTGCTCTCCTGTGACTCTGTTCCCTGATATGCTTCATTATAGCAATGGAACACGACACAGTTGAAAAGAATTCAATAGGTGGCACCAGAACACTAAAAAATCCTCCCAAAATGAAAAGCAAATGCATTTCCCCATGAAACCTTTTTGAGAGATACTGGGTAAAATGAAGGAAAATCAAGAAGGATCCCAATACACCAGAATCTGTTACTCTGAGATTAACAGGTATATTGCTACTATTAATTTATTTTCAAAAAAATATCCCAGCACTAACAAATGTCTGAGCTAACCTCACCTTAACCAAGGTAACCTCAAAGACAAAACTGTCTGCTCATGTTCATATTCTAAAACATAACTCCAGAAACTTGAAAGCTGAAATCCAAAAATATGTTTAAAATGTAATGAGGATGTCCAATCCCCCAAACACATGCTGTGCAGTAAGAAAGCTTGATGATTGCCAAACTAAGCAAGTCAGTCTGAGTTTAAATGGGAACTACCCCAAAACTTTTCTCAAAGCTTAAACTGCATCCAATATTCTTATCAAGAATTTCTTATGATGATATGTGTAGGATAACAAGGATAACATCAGATAACCCAAGCAGAACTAGAGCATAGAAAAAGTTCCTGCTACTGCAGTAAGTTTCTAATCTCCCCTTCCCCTTCTCTTGATTTGGCCACCAGTTGGTTCCTGCTGATTTACCTAAAAGGTTTCAAACCCATCAGTAATGTTTGAGCAGATCTGGCCTTAATCACATGCCCTGGAAAAGGATATAACCAGCAGCTCATCCCAGGGCAGATGGGAGCCTGGCTAATCGCTTTTATTCTCCTTCCTACCAGTTGGCGGACAGAATGCAGCTGCAGCTTCAAAGAAAGGTTTGAGATGGAACGACATGCTGCCAACAAAATGTGCCTAAAACAAATGAGCTGACCACTCTTTCTCCTGAAAGCCCAACGATGAACTGGCCCTGGGAGTGAAACATGGGAGTACTGTGTTATGAAATACTTTTGATGTTCAACAAGAAGAGCAAACAGAAAAATAGTGAAAGAATCCAGGTCACCAAAAAAAAAAAAAAAAAAAAAGCCAACCTCTCCAACCCCTAGGAAAGCAGGCTGGCTGGGTCACATCTGGAGGTACAGGAGCTGCTGCATCACCTCTGCAGTATTGACTCTGCACTCACTGCAGTGAACTGTGGTTGCACCTGTATAAGAAATCCAGTTGTATAAGGAGACAACTTTTTGCTGTCTTAGGAAAATGTTTTCCCTTGGCAGGACCAAGCAACTCAACAGAAGAGAGCTGGGATCTAGAATATGTTAAAAAATAAAAATGTGTTTCAAGGAAGTCCAGAGTGTGATCTTCTCAAGTAGCAGGAAGTGCCAGCACACATTTCCTGTGTACATGTGCTATTAATAACACAAACTCCAGCTGATAAGATGGAGATCCTGTTGAATCAGCATTAAAAATGTTATCATGTTTATAGAGGCAGAAATCCATTAGCCGATGACAGGGGACATGCCTTTTAATTCCATTTTGGTGCTGAATTTCCACAGTGAATAAAATGGACTTGGTTTTGTATTTCTTGCTGGACTGGCCGGGAGGCTGAGCTTGCAATGGCAGCAGCTCAGGCTGCCTGCCCTGAGCACAGCATGCTGCAGGACTGCATTCCTCCACACACACAGCACAGCAATGTGGGAAGCAGGAAGGATGCCTCTTCTGCTAATAGTGCATTTGGTGTTTTATCTAGCCTGGTACCATACCAGCTGGCTCTTCACATCCAGCTGTACTCCTCGTGTGTTTGCCAGAGCTGCGAGGGGGCAGAGGAAGTAATCCTTCCTCTCAGCCTCATGTCTGTAAAACAGTTGGCAGCCGGATTTTGCTGCCAGGAAAAATGCTTAGTGATTCTGCAGAGCTGCTGCCCTTTTCCCAGGATCTCTCCAGCCTTTGGTATATTGGACAGATCCCAGCAACCCCCACCAGGCAGCATTTTACACCAAGCAACTAACGTAGGTCCAGATTCTGCCTTCCCTCTTTTCACAGCTGAACAGCACTGCTTCAGCAAGGTCAGGGCTCTTCACATCTGCACAGAAAGCAACAGGATGTGGTCTACTTGTTCAGATGGAGTAAAGCTCTTTGAGGGGGTCTCCTAGCAAACAGCACAGACATTGCAGCTCCCCTGCAAGCCAACACTAAACTGCAAAAAAAGAACAGTTCCCGGTGGCAGGTGAAGGGTGAGTGAGGCAAGGAGCCTTACAAAATGCTGCCAGCGCCGTTTGATTTATTTTTAAACTTCAAGTGGGATAGGATGTAATTCACACCTACTTTAAGGCTCCCTTGTGCTGCCAGAACCAGCTAAAGAGACCTTAAAGTAAATGAGCATCGGGGCCAGAGATGTTACTGTTATTTTTGCTGAAAACACAAAACGAAGGGATCTATTGCTACTTTATAAACAAATCTGGGCAGACCTAAGAATAGAGTAGCAAACACTTAAAATTTGAATAATTCTATACCACACAGGACCTCTCAAATTTTATAGGTGGGATCACATGTGCTGAAGTGCTTTCATAATCAGAAACTACAGAATTACACTTTATCACTAATTCTGGGGAAGAAAAAGCTAAGAATGTTCCCAGATTCTGGACAAACTGCTACTCTTTGAAACTTGAGTAAAAGAATGCCATAGAGAGTTCATACTAAAAATATGAGAAATT